GTGTACACCAACAATGTTTGACGGCAAGAGTGGCCCGCTGTGGGTCCCAGAGCCGTGTGGTGACGGGCCGTGCGGCGACCTGCCGTCGCCTGCCCCTCCTCCTTCTGGATGGCCGGTTCGTCCTCGGTCGCTTCCTCCTCGCCCTCTACCCGGGAGGAGAGAGAGAGGAGAGAGAGAGAGAGAGAGAGAGAGAGAGAGTTGCCGGCGCGCAAAGGGGGGGGTAGGGGGAGGGCGATGGCTTCTGAGAATGGAGGCCTCCTAGATGGGGTCCGAGTAGATGGGGTCGAAGGATCGCGCCGCTTCGCCAATGCATCGCCGATGTATCGCCGATGCATCGGCGATGCATCGGCGACGTCGGCGATGCATCGGCGACGTCGGCGTGGATAAAATCGGGCTCCACATCGAGGCGCATCGCCGATGCATCGGCGATGCGGCGCGATCCTCCGACCCCATCTGCTCCGACCCCATCTTGGAGGCCTAGATGGAAGCAGCCTGCTTCTTAGAAGACCCCCCGCCTCTTGCATCTGTAGAGAAGGCCAGCGCCTTCCAGGAGGCAGGGGTGCTTCCACGAAGCCTTCCCCCCCGTCCCCCATTCCCCCCTCTGCGCGCGGCCGATCTTCCCAGAGGGGAGCGAGAGAGGGAGAGAGAGAGAGAGAGGGAGAGAGAGAGCGAGAGAGAGCGAGAGACAGAGCGAGAGAGAGAGAGAGCGAGAGAGAGAGAGAGAGAGAGCGAGAGAGAGCGAGAGGGAGAGAGAGAGAGCCAGCGGGAACGACCGAGACCCCCAACGCCCTGCTGCTTCTCAGAACGGGGGCCCCCATCGGGCGGGTGGCGGTGGAGGGGGGGGGGGCCACACAGGGGGGGTGAAGAGAAAAGGGGCTTGCACGGGCCATCAAGGGCGCCCCCCAGTGCCGCCCGCCCGACCCCGGCGGTCTCAGCCACTCCCGGGGCCTGGCTTCTCCTCCCGAGCCGCTCTCTGACGGTTCTCGAGGCCCGGCGAGGGCCCCCGCAGGCCGCAAATCGCGAAACGCCTTCCGCCGACATGCCTTTCCCCGCGAAGGGGGTCTGGGGATCTGAGCTTCCTCCTCCTCCTCCTCCTTCTCCTCCTCCTCCCGAAGAGCCTCCGAAACCGCTATTCGAGGGTCCAAGTACGGCACAAACATACTTTCTCCCACGTCCCCAAGGATCGCTGGGAGCGGCGCTGGATCGGCGCCAGAAGCGCCGCCAGGGGGGGGGGCCCCAGCGCCGATCCGAGACATCCGCGCGGGCCTCAGAAAACTGCTGCTAATACAGTTTTGTTACCGTAGGGGCCCGACCACAAGAAACCTTCCACAAGACACCCAACCCTGAGACCCCAGGACGTTCATGGATTTCTGGTGTGGGAACGTCACGCCTTCCGTCGCAAAGCCATCGACGCCAAAGAAACCCAGGGCACCCTGGAGGCGAGCAGGGTGCTTCTCGGCATGGGTCTCCACTGCATTCGAGCCCCATCCTCAGGAGCGCGCGCGCGCGGGCGCGCGAGAACGCCCGTCCTTCTCGGGAGCCTCCGCCACCCTCTTCTTGCGCTGCTCCTCCAGCTGCCTCGTCCGGGGGGGCGGCGGCGCCGCGCGGCGGGGATGGGTGAGGGGGTGGGGGGGGAACGCGCCCTTCGACTTTCGCGGCGTGTCCCCACCTGGGACGGATGGGCTGATGTGGGGCTGAGATGCCACGGCCCAGTGGGGATGGAGACTGGCTGGACGACGCTGACCATGATTACCCCCCTCCGCGTGAGCAGCTCAAGCCCCCTCAGACCTCCTTCTGGACCGCCCTCTCCGTCCCCCCCCCCCCCTCCCTCCGTCCCCAGGTTGGCCCCGGCACCTTGCCTTGCGTCGCCCGCCCCCTCTGGGGCGCTCCGCACCACGGAGGGGGAACGTTTCACTGCACCGGCCTTGCAGACGTGCTGCAGTGGATTTCTGCGCGGATTTTTGCCCGAAGTGGCAAGCGAAAAACAAAATGAATTTCGCGTGGGTTCTTTTTGGTCTTCATTCCTGGCTAAAAAACCCGCGCGAAATTCACCTCGAAATCCCGAACGAAATTCTCGAGGACGCCCCCGGCCCACCCCATCGCTTTCCGAGCGAAATCCGCTCTGCGATGTTGGCGCCATGAATTGGACGCCCGAGTTATCCGGGGTAACTCGGGTCCGGGGTAACTCGGGTTTGGGTTCCCGAAACACGAACCCGAGTTAACCCTGACCCGAGTTACCCCTGATGATTCGGGGCTCTGGACGCCCGAATTATCCGGGGTAACTCGGGTCCGGGATAACTCGGGTTCGGATTCCCGAAACACGAACCCGAGTTAGCCCTGACCCGAGTTACCCCTGATGATTCGGGGCTCTGACAATGAAACGTTCGGGGGGGGGGTGGGGCTGTCTCGGGGGGAGGGGGGACACCGACCTGGAACCGGCGATGCCATCGCCAACGCATCAGCGACAGGCCCTCGACGGCGAACCTCCGCATGGCTCTCCGGGCGGGGCGGGCCATCGGGCCCCCCCGAATGACCTCGGGCACGCGCGGAACTGCATTAGGGAGCCGTGGGACCCCGCGCGCGGGCGCCGGATCCACGGATCGGGGCAGAGGCCACTGATCTGGCGACGGCCCCCACGTCTTTCTCGGGGGCGCGCAGACATGGATCAGCGATCCATGAAGTTGGCGCGCGGTCGCCAAATCCATGGATCGGGGGAAGTGCCCTCCCCCAAGTGCGGCCGGTGCCGCCTCGCTCGGCGGCGGAAATCCGCGACTTCCCATGGAAACAGGACCCGTCGCTAGTCCACGCCCCCTTGATCCATGTTTGCGATCGCCTGAGTGGATCTCGCGCGCGGGCGCCAGATCCACGGATCGGGAAATAGGCCCTTGATCTGGCGACGGCCCCCTTCCTGACGTCTGGACGCCGGCTCGCATCCACGCGCACTGGTGCATGCTTGCGTCTCCTGGACTGTCGGCGATGAGTTGGCGATCGGGGGTCGATGCCCCTGAGCCTATCCCCCGCTAGCGTTGCCCCGGCGGGCGCGAGGAGGAGGCCGTCCTTGTGTGCGTGTGTGTGCGTGAGAGAGGGAGAGAGAGAGAGAGAGAGAAAACGAGATACTGACCCCCGGCTCCACGCATCGCTGTTTCCACGGTCGTTTGCCGTTGCTGTCCACTGCTGCCGTGCGGGCCACCCCATGGTACTACGTATACCCGCCCCGCTATCCACGCCTAGATTGCCGATGCCGTCCTCCACGCCTCTTGCTGCCGTGTCGGCGTTTCCCCCCGCTGTCTGCACACCTTCTCCGCCTCAGTGCGCTCGAAACCGCTATCGCCAACAGTGTGTGTGTGTGTGTGTGTGTGTGCGTGCGTTTGTGTTTGTGTGTGTGCGTTTGTGTGTGTGTGTGTGCGCGTGCGTGAGCGGGAGCGTGTGTGTGTGTGTGTGCGTGTGTGTGTGTGTGTGTGCGTGTGCGTGTCTGTGCCGAGCGGCTCTCTACACATCTTCGCCCTTGGTGACTGACTGTGACAAGGGCGCCTCTGGTGCCCTTGTCGCGCGCCGGTCGCTGGCCCAGCCCTCGGCCTTCCGGCTGCCACTTCGAGTGCGTCCTGCGGTTGCGTCAGGGCCACCCGCCGCTTCTGGGCGTCGCGTGCGCCTTCGCGGTCTTTCTCCCGCCTTGCTGTCCGTCGGTGTTCTGTGGCCACGTCGCTGTGCTGCTCGTCCCATCCCTCGGGCGCCGCCACACTTTCTCACCCACCCGTACAGGCGGATTTGGGAGCACAAACTTTACATTAGTCCAGAAACACTTGAATATGGTTAGGTGGAAATGAGTAAGTCGTCCGCAGACTATTGCACTGTTGTTGACTGTTCCTCCTGTAGAGGGACACGCCCGACTCACGTCTTCGGGGAAGGCTCAGGGAACTTCTCAGAAGGCCGGGGGGCTTCCGAGCCTTCTGAGAAGGCCCGGCCCTTCTCGCTTCCCGAGGGGGGTGCAGGGCGGGGGGGTGCAGGGCGGGGGTTCCCTCCCCCCCCCTCCTCCCCCCCCCGCCCTGCCCCCCTCCGCCAACTCCCGAGGGGGGTTCCCTCCCGGCTCGCCGCCGACGCTCGCGACTGGCTCCGAGGAGCTCCTACCCCGATGTGGTCGCTCCCTGCATCTCCAGGTAGGGATGCCACGCAGAGAAACCAGGGGGAGCCGGCGGTCGGAGCGGCGAGGAGGGAGGGAGGGAAGGAGGGAGGGAGGGAAGGAGGGAGGGAGGGAGGGCCCTCCCTCCTTCCCTCCCTCCCTCCTCCTCTCCCTCCTTCCCTCCCTCCCTCCCTCCCTCCCTCCTTCCCTCCCTCCCTCCTTCCCTCCCGACGAGTAGAATCGGCAAGTCGGAGCGGCGATCGGCACGAATCGGATCGACGGACATCGGCAGCCGAATCGGGAAAAGTCGAATCGGCGGACATCGGCAGGCTTGTAGGTTTACACGGAGAGATCGGACCTCACATCGGAATCCGAAGTCGAATCGAATCAGAATCGGAAACCGTCGAAATCGAATCGAATCGAATAGGGGAAGTCGAAATGAGCCCAGAGAAACACTATGCAGTCACTTCGGAGGTGTCGTTTCGTCGTCCGAGCAGGGTGCGCCGGACGGCTCAAGACTGTCCTGTGGCGCGTCGGCCCTCGTGAGTCGACTCTCGTTTTGGACGGGGAGCTTCTTCTGTGAGCTGAGAAGGTGAATTCAGTGAGAGGTCTATGATGCTGACTATGCTGCTGCTGATGAGAATAATGATGAGGATGCTGCTCTTGTTGATGATGCTGATGATGATGATGATGATGGTGATGGTGATGATGATGATGCTGATGATGATGATGATGATGAGGATGATGCTGATGTTGTTATTGATGGTGATGCTGATGGTGATCACGCTGCTGCTGCTGACGATGATGATGGTGCTGCTACTGCTGATGTTGCTGATGATGCTAATGATGATGTTGCTGCTGATTATGAAGCTGATGATGGTGATCGAAGGTGATGGGACCATGTGATCGGCACACGATTACTATTTTCAAGCAGAGGGCTGGAAATGCGCGTGCAGCTCGCAGTCGGGGTCCGTAAGCACGTAGCCCACGCTGAGAGGGGGTGCAGACGGCGCGCCGGGGACGTCCTCGCACCAGACCTCCAGCAGCGTGAACCGGGCGATCGACCTCACCGCAGTGTCGAAGGTCCCGCGAGGAGACTCCCCCCAGGCGCCCAGGTGGCAGAGGTACCCTTCGTCGCCTGGCGCGGCGCCGCCGGCGCCCTCGGCCGAGACGAAGCCGAAGAAGGGCTCGTGCGGGCTGGCCGCGTCGGTGATCCTCTTGCACATCCAGCAGTACCTCGGCTCGTAGAAGTGCAGCGCCATGCGGCTGCCGACGCCGAGGATCGGCCCGGACCATAAGGGGAGCCAAAAACACCACAGAAACGGAAGCTTTCGGAGCTCCGCGCGGATTTCTTGGACCTGCGCCTCGGCGGCGCCAGGGAGGGATGCCCAGCGCCAGGCAGGGGTGTCCAGGGAGGGGTCCCAGACCTCCGAAAGCGTAGGGCCCATCTGTTTCGGCTTTCTTCGGCGACCTCATGAAAAACAGCGGGATCGGCCACGACACCCTGCCGCCGACGCGCACGGAGGTCCCGAGCCGCGCGTGGGCCCTCCGCAGGGCCGCCTCGAGCCCGCGCCTGCGGGGGTGGGCAGGCAGCGCCACCCCCGCGGCGAGCCCCCACGCCGCGGCGCCGAGCCTGGGCGAAGACGAAGCGACCAAACGGCACGGAACTAGGGGGGTCTCCAAACTGCGTTCTGGGCCCGCGAACTCCTGCATCAACGGCCCCCGCCGGGTGCTTCCTCACAATCTACAAAAAAGAATCGCACTTTTTTTCTGGGGGGGGGGGGAGCGGACACGATGACCCAACAAGGAGTGCCATTTGGCTCGAGATGTCATTGCATGTTTGGCTCTAGATGTCGTTGCATTTTTCCCAGAGCGTCGTGCACTCACTTGAGACTTTCTCCCAATTGATTCACGTGTCGCTCTCTCGGCGCTCTGGAACCGCGCTCTCGCTCGGGACTTCCTCGTGCTTTACTGATGAACCGCGCTCTCGCCCGAGACTTCCTTGCCATCCCATCGTGCTAAGCCCCCTTGCTGATCCCTCTCGTCCTCCATCTTCTCCCTCCCTCCCTCTTGCCCCCTTCCCTCCTCCCTCCCTTCCCCCCCCTCGCTTTGCATTTTCCATTGGTTCTGTTCTTCCTGTTGTAGGGGCTGCACCACTTACACGTGGCAGGGCCCCCAAAGGGGGCACGATCAAAGACGAAGAGTGCGGATATCGAGGGATTGGGAACGTTGATTCGCGCGCGAGCAGATGAGAGCGAATAGATCTGACATGATTGGACTCCCACTTCTTTAAGTCGCTGCAGTTGGTCCTCCCGGATCGTGCCCAACTTGTTGTTCAATTAAACTGCCCCTCCTGGGGCTCGCACCCTGTTGTTTTATAGTGGCAAGTCTTGCGCGTCAGACTGGGCCCCTGGCCCCCGAACTGCAGCACCAACGGCTCCCGCCTGAGATCCCTCACAATTGATTGAAGAATCGCGCTCCCGCTCCAGGCCTCCATGAAAGTTATCCAAGATTCGTGCTGTCGCCGAAGACTTCTGTATTACATGTTATTCACGAATCGCTCTCTCGGCGCTCTGGAATCGCCCTGTCGCTCCGGCCCTCCCCACAGTTCAATGAAGAGACGCGCTCGCGCCTGAGACGTCTTTGCCATCCCCCCTTGCTAAGCCCGCTTGCTAATCCATCTCGTCTTCCATCTCTGATTTCCTCTTGTCACTCTTCCCTCCTCCCTCCCTTCCTGCACCCCCTTCCTCCTCGCCCTCTCTCTTTTCCGTTGTGTGTTATTATTCCTGTTTCAGGGGCTGCGCCAATTTCACGTGGCAGGGAAGGGCGATATCCCGCCAAGGGGGTATGATCAAAGACGAAGAGGGCGGGTACCGAGGGCGAGGGAAATACGTGATGGTTTGTGTGTTGGCACGCGAACATACGAGAACGACCAGTCGTAAACTGTGTGTGTGTGTGTGTGTGTGTGTGTGTAGTTGAACTGTTTTTGTTCGGAAGAATGCTTATTGCTGACCCCCTCCCTCTGGAGACATATGTGTCTTTCAAGTGAAGTGCCCCTCCCACGGCTCGCACGCTGCCTTTTATAACAGGAAGTCTTGAGCGTGACATTGCCCCCCCCCCCGAACTACAACAACAATGGCTCCCGCCCCAAACTTCCTCACAACTGATTTAAGAATCACGCTTTCGCTTGAGATCGCAATGCATTTTTCCCACGGAGCATCGCGCTCTCACATCAGATTTCCTTCCAACGTATTCACGAGTCGCTCTCTCGGCGCTCTGGACGCGCCCTGTCGCTTGGGACTTCCTCATACTTTCCTGATGAACATCGCTCTCGCCTGAGACTTCCTTGCCATCCCCCCTTGCTAGGCCCTCTTGCTACTCACTCGCGTCCTCCACCTCTCCTTCCCTCTTGTCCCCCTCCCCTCCTCCCTCCCTCCCCCCACCCCCTTCCTCCTCGCTCTCGCCCTTTTCCATTCTTCCTTTTTTTTTAGGGGCTGCGCCAATTACATGCGGCATGGAAGACAGACATCCCCCCAAGGGGGGTATGATGAAAAGATGAAGAGGGCGGGCACCGAGGGCGTGGAAGATACGCGTTGGTTTACACGTGAGCATGTGAAAACGACTAATCTTAAGATGACTCGTGTTGTTACTGCTGTTGTTATTATTGTTGACTGTTGGTATGTTGGTTGTTGGTTGTTGTCGTCGCCGTCGCCGTCGTCGTCGTGGTCGTCGTCGTCGTCCCCCCCGCGACCCCCCCCACCCCGATATCCACCCCGCGACCCACCCGGCGACCCACCCTGTGACCCACTCCGCGACCGACTCCGCGACCCGCCTCCTGACCTCTTTCCTCGCGACTGCGGGGGGCCACGGCTGAGGCATCGAATCTTTTGCCCGTTCGGTGGCAGCTTGTGGGAGCCTCCCATGCCATCTTGCTGGCTCTCGCAAGTCGACGCTACCCGACGCTAATCGACGCTAACCGGCCCAACATCGACGCTAATCGACGCCAACCGACGCTAATCCGAAGCTAGATCGGCGCTCTTCATCGGTCACCGGACACTATCGCACGATAAGGCAATCTAAGTACGGAGTTGCGAGGGCATGCGAGGCTCCCACGATGTGCTACCGAACTAAAATGCCGACTCTTCTTCCCCTATAGCTGCCGGAGCACGGCTCCGCGGTGCCGATCGCTCGCCTGAGGGCTGCGGAAGGGGGGGGGGCAGCTCAGGGCGATGCATCGCCGACAGATCGGCGAGCTGCTCTCGATCGCGGACCCGCACGCTCCAGGGCGGTGTGAGGCTCTCTCGCCCGTGCTGTCCGACGAGCGACGAGGCACTTGGGGGGTCGAGGCGTGGCCCCTCTGAGCCTTTCGCTAGTCCCTGTCCTTGCCCCCCGGTCGCCAGCGTCGACGGGGCGAGTTCCACCCGGGAGCCCTCCCAGGCGGCGGGGCAGCGCCACGCGGCGCCCAGGCGCCGGCACGCGGCGGCGGCGGCGCCTCCCGCCTGCGCCAGGTGGGCGAGGACCCTGGCCTGCGCCTCCCGATGGAGGCACACGCAGCGACGACGACGACGACGGCGGCGACAGCAGCGACGGCAACGGCGGCGACGACGGCGACGACGACGGCGACCACGACGACGACAACGACAACGAAAACAACAACGACGACGACGACGACGACGACGACGACGACGACTGCGACCACAACGACGACGACGGCGGCGACGGCAACGACGACGACGACGACGACGACGACGACGACGGCGACGACGGCGACCACGACGACGACGACGGCGACGACGACAACGACGACGACGACGGGGACCACGACGGCGACGACGACGATGACGACGACGGCGACGACGACGATGGCGACGACGACGACGACGCTTTCAGACGGCGCCACGCTGCCGAGCCGCGCCCGACGCGCGGCGCCCCCCCCCCCCCCACCCACGCGAACGGTGCGCGCGAGGCGCCCAGGCTGGGCAGCCCCCACCCCCAGGCAGGCACTTGCGCCCCTGCCTGAAACGGTGGCCGCCCTCGGCTCCTCTGGGCGACAGAGGAGGAGGAGGAGGAGGAGGAGGAGGAGGAGGAGGAGGAGGAGGAGGAGGAGGAGGAGGAGGAGGAGGAGGAGGAGGAGGAGGAGGGGGGGAGGAGGAGGAGGAGCGAGGAGCGAGGAGCGAGGAGCGAGGAGCGAGGAACGAGGAGGAGCGAGGAGCGAGGAGGAGCGAGGAGGCGCCTGCGCCCCTGCCTGACAGGGGGCCACCCTCGGCCTCCTCAGGCCTGCCTCCTCGCAGGCACGCCTCCCGCCTCCTCGCCTCGCCTCGCGCTCCCGTCGGCGCGGGCCAGGCCACTCCTCCTCCCAGGCGTGGCGGGCCGCCGCCGCGCCCCCGCCCCTGGGCGCTCGCCCGAGCCAACCCGCACGCCGCGGACCTCCGTCACCTGCTCCTCGGTGTCGTCCGGGCCGTCCGCGCCCTCCGCCCACTCGTCCATGGCCGCCAGCGCCGACGCCTGCAGGTCGGGCGCCACGCTGGACTCCAGGACGGCCCGCCGCCACGCCGCACGCAGGGATGGGCCCCCGCAGGCGGCGTCGGACCCGCGGAGCTGGGCACGATCCTCGTCCCCCTCGGCGTCGTCCTCCACGAGCGCCAGGGCGTCGGCGAAGCCGCCGCCCTGGTTCATGATCCCCTGCTGCCAGCCCTCGGTGAACACCCGCCAGTCGGGCTCCTCAGCGCACTCCGTCACCTGGCCATTGGCGCTGTACGCGTCCTCCGCCAGGCCCCGCGCCTTCGGCGACCGTCGCAACCGTCGACCTTAGCCTCCTCGGCCTTCCGCGGCCGCGCACGCGCCACCAGCAGCGGCGTCGCACGCTGGACCTCCACCGCCTCCGCAGACTCGGCCTTGGCCACCTCGCGCTCTCGGATGGCCTCCGCGCGTCCCTCTCCCGCTGGGCTTGGCACGGCCGCCCCTGCCTGCGCACTGGCCGCCTTGCCCCGCCATCTGCTGCGCACGCCGCCGCCGTGGCGGCTCGCTGAACCAGCCAGCCTCTCACGCAACGTTGCGCCAGTGCCGCCGCCTTGCGCTCCCTCTCCTCGGTCCGCCTGTCAGCCTCCGCCGCCGCCCATGTCTCCGCCGCTCGGGTGGCCAGCGCCAGGGCGGCATCCCAGCGCCCGTGCCCCTCACGGCCTCCCGCCTTGCTCTGCACGACCTGCCACGCCACGGTCGCAGCCGGGCCCGCCGCCGCGCCCTGCCCCGGCGCGGCCCTCTCGACGTCGATGGCCTCCCCGTGGCTGGGGCACTCTCTCCCGGGGTGCCTCCCCGTGGCGGAGCTCCGCCTTGGGCCGCGCCCCAGGGCCGCGCTTCAGGGCCCTCGTGGGGGGGGCGCCGCGCTGGCGGCCCCGCCCCCTCTCCGAGCCGCCCTCCTCGGTGCTCGCGCCGGCCTCCGCGCGCACGCGGGCCGCCAAGCTCGGCGTGCGGGGCCTCGCGGGACCCCACGCGCCTCCCTGCACCGCGGGCTCCGGCGGCGGTCGGCGGCGCCTCCCGCCCTCGCGCGCCGCCGCTGGCGCCGGTCCCCGCCCGAGGCGCCACCCTCGGGCAGAAACTTGAGCCCACAACTTCGAGCCAAACTTGCGACGGAAGTCGGCGACGACGACGACGACGACGAAGACACGACGACGACGACGACGACGACGACGACGACGACGACGACGACGACGTCGACGACGACGACGACGACGACGACGACGGCGGCGGCGGCGGCGGCGGCGGCGGCGGCGGCGGCGGGGGCGGCGGCGGCGGCGGCGGGGGCGACAAGGGCGGCTGCGGCGGCGGCGGCGGGGGCGGCGGCGGCGCCTCTCGGCGCA